TCCGATCAGAGATGTAAACAATTTGAAAAGCGGTTGTGGAACGTTCCTATGATATTTCTACACGAAGAAATAATCTCTCAAACTTTACGAAGATTTGACCTAAAATTTGGCAGTTTAAATACATGCATCACAATTGGCATATTCCTAGCTTTATTTCGCTACCAAATTTATATATCAGAAACATTTATAAACCAACTAATGAGCATCTAATTTGCAGAACATTCTAATCTCCCCATGTCGACATTGTCCACCATATTTGAATTTTCTAACAGCTGATAACAATGTAAACTTTTCCACAAATTATGTTCAAAACTAAACTTTTTATTAATTTCATACAAATTGGTATTCCAGAGGAACATGGTAAAATTATCTTTTTTTTAATAGTTTTTATTGTATTGATACTTGTTGTACGGTTTAGATAGTCACAAAATGAGCATGCAAAGTGTAGATTTTCAAATAAATAGGCTCAAATTGTTGATGCTGTAATTATGTGAACTGACAAATGGTAATCAATGTTAAAATATGTTCCACCTTGTATTCATTATGTTTTTGCAATTGTTTAAATTGTGTAATGGGACATTGATGAAATAATGAGAGAAAAAAATCACATCATTATAAAAAATCGCATCACTATCAGATAAATGCAAAATTTCAGTATGAAAATTTTTTAATTTTATATTTTAAAATATTTTTCTTACTTTGCAAGCATAGCATATTAACTCAACACACACTTAAAGTGGGTTCTTAAATTCCCAGTGAACATTTGATAGGATCAATGTTTTCAAAAAACAAAACAAAAAATACAAAGTCTGAAAGTGGTAAATAATTTTGCAGGTATATGATATTGAAATGTTAGTTCTAAGTGACATTGTTTAACATCACAGCATGTTTGAAATTAGGTCTTGCAACATTGTTTTGATGACTGTTATAAATAAATGATGCATTTTTGTTGTTTTTAAAGTTATTTTACATACATATGAACTATTGCTAATGTAATATATTTTTATTAAGTTAACTGGCATAAAAGTTGTGAAATGTTTACACACTTTTCATTTATAGATTAAAATATTGAAGTCAGGCAACAGATTTAATGACAACATTGAATTCAGCAGGAAAAAGTGCGAACAGAATTGAATACATTTCAGAGCTCTCAGAAACGTGTATTTGGATGCAAAGTTTTGATTTGAGACGCAGAAAATCACCCACAAATGAGTCCTCCTTATGCACGTTTTTGTTGAAAGGAGGAAACGTTTGTGGCAAAATAGATATGTTCTAATCTGTATGAAAACTGAAGCAATGCTTTTTTTTTAGTTTGCTGCTGACTTCTTTGATCAATGGTCACTGGCTTGCTTTGATGTAGGTGCATGTGTTATTGAAGGTGTCAATATGGGCTCCCTCTAAAGGACAAAACAAATGCTCACTTGTTATTGCTGCAGCAACATCAAATGAATTGTAGAACATTGACACAATTTTTTAAAAAAATTACTTAGTGTATATCTGTGCTTCAGAGGTAATCAGTTTTCATTGAAGTTGCAGCAAAAACTATTTTTTTTCAGTTGTTTGTTTAATTTTTTTAAAATTACTGTCTTTTGGTCAACTCTAGTTATTTCACATTCCCCCTTCAATTGTAGCTAGTCAGTTGCATGACTAGTTTGATTATTTTACAAACCACCCTAACAGTTAATTGTTATGTCATAATTCACTTATGCTGATATCTGGCCTTGATGCTGTATGCTGTAATATAATCAAACTAGCCATGCAACTAACTAGCTACAATTGGCCACCTCCGAGGGCCTGAAACATGAAATGACTACAGTCAACCACACAACAGCAATTTAAAAAAAAACAATTAAAAAAACCCAGAAAAATAATTTTGCTGCAACTTCAATGAAAACTGATTACCTCTGAATCACCGATATATACTAAGGAAATTTTTAAAATAAATTGTGTCAATGTTCTACAGTTCATTCGATGTTCAATAACAAATGGGTATTTATTTTGTCCTTCAAAGGAAGCCTTTTGCGGCACCTTGAATAACACATGCACCTTCATCAAAGCAAGCCAGCGACCTTTGATCAAAGAAGTCAACAACAAACTAAAATAAAAGCATTGCTTCAGTTTTCATAGTGATTGGAACATACTTATTTTGCTGAAAAACTTTCCTCCTTGCAACAAAAACGTGTGTGTGGAGGACTCCTGTGTGGTGATTTTCTGTGTCTTTTTATGTTATTTCACATGTAATTTCTTTTTTTATATGCTCCTATTAGGTGAATAGACTGTTTCCCTTTTCCATTCATCCATAAGTTTGGTTCAGCTTTTCTTTTAGATATTTTCCCAGAAACTTATTGTTTATCCATTATATGTTTGTTTCACTCTCTGCAAATCTGATTGTCTTCTTGATTTCAGACCTCCATGGATCTACCACCAGATAAAGCTAAGGTTTTGAAAAACTATGATGATGAGAAGAAGTGGGACCTAATATGTGATCAGGTAACTGAAACTATTGTATATCATTCAGGGCCAGAGATTTATTATTGTCAAAAGTCTTGTTTTGTTTTGGTCCCAGGGCTATTGTATATTATCAGCAACATCTTTAATATCTATTAGATGTTCCTATAAATTGTGCTAAATTTTTCTAATCTTTAATGTGATGCAAGTGGAAGTCAATCATCTGATAATGAGAATCGATGTTGTGAAACATTACCAGACAAATTTGCAACTTTAGCCAGACAATAGATGGAGCACCAGTCTCAGCATGATCTTGGTTGAAACAAAGCATCTACTAAATAGGCTTACCAAATATTCAATATGAGTGTAATTACAGATTTAAGTTGCCAAAATAAAGTACAGAATTTGTACATCTGGTATAGTACCTGTTGGCAGGATAGCAAACATTTTCACTGGCTATGAAAAAATGAACTGAGGACTGTATGCTGTGCTGGGCAGTGTTGCAAATAGAGACTTTTATTGGCTTACTGGCAACAAAATATATCCTAACAATTTTTTGGGTGACAAAAAGTTTGTTTCTTAAAACTTGTATATACAGTCTTCGGTTTGGAGTGGAGAAATTTAAAGACACCATGAACGGAAGCAGCAAACTTGGATTTAAATGCACTGGAATCTATTGTCACATAAACAAGTTATACATTTGTATTGACAAACCATCTTATTAGTGTGTTGCTATATCATAATCCAGATCTGACCTGAGTACTTATCTTGTGATATACTCAAATAGTCATGCTTCTGGAGAAGAAAGGAACAGGAATTGATACAATCAACAAAACAATGACTAATCCTTGCTTTTAAATGTACCAATGTTCTATTTAACATGCTAAGCAGATGAAAAAAGATTCATTCTCAGTCAGAACTATATAATGTTGACGCAGTTGTTACCTTGCTTTTAGATGTACCAATGTTCTATTTAACATGCTAAGCAGATGAAAAAAGATTCATTCTCAATCAGAACTATATAATGTTGACGCAGTTGTTACCTTGCTTTTAGATGTACCAATGTTCTATTTAACATGCTAAGCAGATGAAAAAAGATTCATTTTCAATCAGAACTATATAATGTTGACACAGTTGTTTCAAATACAATATTTTCAGTAAAGAGGTCAGGTATTAAACATAGCCAGTGAGATGTATTTCATGAATATTGATTTTCCCCTTGACTCTTTGGGTTTTCCTTTACTTATCTCCTCCCTTTTCCTTTCTGTGCTAATTTGCATAGGTGAAGATCACACAATGAAACAAACTAATATAGGTAAATCAGATATGTGTTACACACTGTAACGGGGGCTTTAAACATGAAAGCCTCCTTAATTGATTTGGTGTTCGTTAACTAAGAAATTACCTCCAACTGTATTATTGCCCAGTGTGGACAGATAGATGGAATGTTAACAGATAGATGAGCATGCAGTTGAAAGAAATAACTTCAAGCCCCCTTTTCCAATTAAAAAATTTAATCAATTAGTATATTACCAAAATTTCACTTTCAACTAATACAACGGATTTACTAAAATAAATGTAATTAATTCATCCATACCAAAATCTCACTTTCAATAAACATGTGACAAAAATTTTACTTTCAATCCAGATAGATTCACATTAATAGAATTGAGTTGCAGTGTTCAATTTACATCTTATTATGAGTAGCAAATTCAGAGTTAAATCCTACGCTTGACAGCATCACCTTGCGTCCGTCTCCTATTGTCTTGTTTCCACGTCTAATGCGTGTTCTTTGGTCCTCTTTCCAAACCCTGTTTAGTCTGACCTTTCATAGATGTGGATTTCCCCTTGACTTGTCAGGTTTTTCTTTACTTATCTCCTCCCTTTTCCTTTCTGTCACTCTTGGAGTATGAAACTGTTTCCTTAATGCCATTTCTTTCCACATAACCGTGTCCTAGCCTATAGCCTGTCTTCATCTTTTTAAGACAGTTCTCTGAACTTTCTTCGCTAACTAAGAAATCACAATTCAATTGTTCCCACGGAGTTAATCTGACTTCTCCCAAGTAGGATTCGCAACTAAAGAATTCTGAGCTAGTGGTACCCCTAAATTCCCAGTCTCCCAATATGTACGCCCTATTTTCCCAGACCAATCAGAAATAACTGTTCATAAAATTCTCTCCAAATAATCATGTCTTTCATCAGATTTTGACAGCCTAAGAACCTGTTACTATTAGCTTCCATTGAAAAATCAATTGTCTGACATGTTCCTTCATGTACCAATACAATCGGAATTCTAATGTACATATGTCACTGTACCATTAAAAAAGCCCGGTCAATACAACTGAAGCTTAAATATATACCCTTTTATGTTTCAGAGATGAAACAAAAGATAATCAGTGAACTTTCTTAAGACATTTCTGGCTTGACTATGTTAACTTCAAAGCACAATTTATTCAACATTTAGTTTCATAATAAGTCTTCAAAATTCACCACATCACACAGAACAAAAGTTATTGCATATCATTGCTTTGAATGAAAATTTTTAAGGGACCACTCAGGTGGCCTAGTGGTTACAGCGTTTGTCTCAGATGCAGGAGGATGCAGGTTCGAACCCGGGTCAAGTAATAGCATAGATTTAAAACATGGTACTAGCAGCTGCCTTGCTAGTTGCTCAGCATTAAGAATTTAGTGTTAGGACTGGTTGGCTTGGTGTCAGGATTATAAGACTGGTAGAAAATGATACCACACATTTGTGGCATTATTCCTCAGTGCTATATATCACTATAAACAGCCACATTGCAGACTGGTAGTGATATGACTGAAAAATTGTTAAAGCTATGTTATAAATCCAAATCACACACACACACACAGAATGTTTAAACAGTCTTTATTAAAGATTATTGACAAGTTTGTGAACAGTGGCAGCATTTTTTAAAAATTGCATTTTATACATATATAAAATGCAAAGTATGATTATTTCAGGTTATTGAAAACATATTTAATTTTTTTAAGGTGATTTAGGAAGCAATTAGCTTTCAGCAAAGCAACCAAAGGCCAGCAAAAAAAAATGTCAGAACTCCCAGGTTGATGGAGATTTCCTTTATGAACCACACCAGCAAATTGGGTATGGCGGAATTTAATATCTGAACAAATGAAATCAATTTGCACATTATACATGACTCGGCTACATTGATGAAGTTTATTTAATAGACATGGAAAATATTGACTAATTGCTTGGTGACCTGTTTTGAAAATTGGTGACAAAATATTGAGGTTGGCTGTTTATTTGGCAACCGCTTTTGTTAAAATCAGCACCATCTCTAATTCCTGTTTCTTGCTCTGAAGAAAGTTGTAGAAGGATGCTGATTCTCCTTTCCTAGCTGCTCACTGAGTATTAATGTCAGGTTAAAGTTACATATGTTCAGATTTTCATTATAAAAAATGATTAGAGGGTTAGCAGAAGTGGAAATGGATCTTTTTATGGCATTCATAATAAAAAAGAATTATAAAAATATTTTATGAATGAATATGCAGTAAAATTTGTTGATACCAGAATTTGCAGTTTGCATTAGGTTTATTATTTTTCATTTAGGTTTTGTTTATGTTTGTGTTCTGTAGTAAATATTCTCAGGCAGACACTGATTGTTGGACCAGTGCTTTACTTATATGGATCTGGGCAGTATAGGATACTGCTGGTTCTGGACCAGTGAGTAAAAAATTAAATTTATAGGCCACATTTTTTCTTCCCAACCAGAACCATTTCCTAAGTGCTTTCATTGTCTCTTTTATTGGCTTCTGATTCTAAAACCCTGTTTATATAAATTTTACACCCTTTGACAGCTTATGTATCACATTCCCTCTCTGGCCATTGACAATAAAAGTGGATGGAATGGTTTAAAGCATGTCTTGCATAATAAAAGTGAGGTATACAGATAGATCTTCAGATTGAAGATAACTGCACCTATTAATTGGCACATTTTCCATTTTTGGCAAAGATTATGTCATCACATCAGCATTGGCATCCCACCTTAAAGTTTTAGAGCAAGTTGTGGTCTATAACAAAAATCAAGCAGAATAAAGACAAAGACAAGCCTGCTGAAGCTGGACTGCCTGTTACAGCTCTTCCTTGAGGTGATATTCCCCAGGTGCCTTATTTACCTGTCTTGCCATCATTGGTGGTGCAAGGAGGTATGGTGGGGATTATATAAATGATTACACTATGATTACACTATTTCACCCTCATCAAAGTATAATGGCGCAGTTCTTAACAAAACTTATATTATTGGGGGGTGGGTGGAGATTGGCAACAAACACATAAACTGTTGTTTAGCAAGGTAGGGGTGCCACTGAGGAGCATTGCCTCTTGGTACCCAGAACCCTTGTGCTTCCACTAGTTGCCTTGGATCCCAGAGTTTGATGCTGGAATTCCAATAAAGATTAAAGGAAGAGGTTTTTAGCTCCATATGTGCAAAAAGTGATGATTCTTCAAATCTATAGTGATTTGCTATCTGATATAATTGTAGAGGTAGAGAGCATTAAAAAGTCTGCATTAAAAAGATCCATCATAGGTTCCACTGATGCATGTACACAATTAGACATATTTAATGTCATGAACCCAGTGTTGCACCTTGAGTACAGAATTTCCTCTGTCCCCCAAACAATGGCTGCTATGCATTCAGTTGGTGTGCTCTTCTGTCAGAAGAAATAAAGAAACAAATATACATACTACTTTCTCACTGTGCACATCTATCCACATTTCTGTTGGTGTTAGCAATGGCCAAAGTTTCTAAAGGCAATAAAAACAAAAGGATGGGAATATCTGTTTTAAACAATGCGTTTGGCAATCAAGATATTTAAAGTGCAGACTTTGAATATAAAATCTTTCTAACAGCTGCTGATGTAACATGTTTTCAAGGTCACTGGTAGAGAAGATTTAATTTATTTCATTTTTTAAATTTTTTTATTAATGACACAATTAGTCATTTAATATGAATCACAAAGCTAAAAATTAATTCAGAAAAAATGGGAATTATTACTTTATAATAAATACTGTTGGATCATGAGAGATAAATTCCAGCTCTTTTCAGGTGAATCAGATGTCAGATGTTAATATTTCAGCATTTTATTAAAAAAAAAAAGTAGTTGCAATCAAAGTATCCCAGGAAAAGATGATAGTGCAGTACTGATGATAAAGTTGAGGTGACAAAACTATCAGGATAAGTTTATCTTTTATCATCTTAATCTTGTATTGATAGTCCTCATTATTTTGTACTTCTACAGAATGGATTGTTAATTCAACATTTGGTTTTCTCTGAAAGGTTTCTTAATCATCTTAAATCAATATGGTACAGATCGGACATTTAATATGACCGATATGGCAGCCATCTTGAAAATTTTGTTGCTATTCTTAGTGAATGGCGCATAATATTAGCTTGGCATTTTCACAGGCAGACTTCTTATGGTGTCTAGTCAGTCTTAATTAAATATGGTGCTGGCCTGATATCTAATTTGGCCACCTGTGGCCATTTTAAAAATATCACTATTTCACCTAGTGGAAATTCACATTAGATGTCTGGTTGAGACTAAAGGAATAAGGGCAAATTTGACTTCCAATATGGCCACCATGGCAGATGTCTTGAACATCTCAGTATTAATATTTCTTCTAAATTGACTAATTGTAACTAGATGGTGCTGAATGAAAATGGTGCCAATCTGATCTCAAATATGGCTGTGATGGCAGCCATCCTGAAAGTTGTCTTTTCACTAATAGAAGTCATATGGAGCTTTAACCACAAGGTTTTTTATGGCATCAAGTTGGCCTCCCCCCACTCCATGATGTGTATGATCACCAAGGGTTACCATGATGACTGTTTTAAACTCTTGTGATCACTACTCCCCTGATGTAATTTTCACCAGAAGACTTTTAACCCTTTCATCACAGCAGACCGCTTTATCGTTCCAGGGGAACTATATCCATCAACACTATAGACCTACTTTTCGGTCTGGGGCAGTGTTCTTCTTTAACATTATAGTACCAGACTAAATATCTTTCGGGGTACCTCTAATAACTTCCATCTAGTAATGTAGATGTTTTATTTGGATGATCTCCTGAGTTTAGTTTGTATACAACTAGAAATAACGAACAAAGAAGGAACTTTTAACGTGTTTTCCGAATGCTGAAATTTGTTTCAAAATGGCGGCGTTTGAGGGAATTTTAGAGGAGAGTTTTCGGAGGATTTAAATAATTTCGACCTGGTAAATTTGGATGAAAATGAGAGAAGACGTATGGAGAGAAAATGGAATGCACTTGTGGGTGACAGTGATGACGATGAAGATGACTTTGAAGGTTTTGACCCAGAGGAATTGTACGTTCCATGTGGGTTTTTTTTTTTGACGAATCTGGAAAACCAAAGAGATTTGTTTCAATTTTCTGACAGAGTTGGGCACACCCAAGAGTTAGATGGCTCCAGGAAAGCTTCGGATTATTTTCAAATATTCTATTCAGATGAAGTTTTTGGAAAAATTGTCCATTTAACGAACTTAAATGCGACGATCAAACGTGGCAGAGACGATAATAGGTGTGTGGACAGGTTTCGGCTTAGAGATCATTTTGGTTCATTTTATAGAATTTTATATATTATGGACACCATGAAAGAAAAACTTGTATTGCTACTGTGATTATTCACTAGTACATCTAGGGTAAATTGAACAAGTTTTGAGAACTTTCTAAGTTTTCTAAGAGGTAATAAAATAATTATTTGTATTTTACCTGTTGTGTTACCTGTTTGTACCTGCATTTTAACAGTTGTAATAGATATGCATATTTTTATTGAATTAGTCATAAAATTTGATTTTTAACCTTGATTTTGACACGTAATCCAGCCAGATATCTTTAACATTGACAAAGTTATGTTGTTTCAAAGTCCACAAGTTATTTTGCTTTACAACTCCAAAGTTACTTAGTGTTGAGGACTATACCTACAAAGTTACTTAGTGATGAAAGGGTTAATGATGTCTACTTGGTCCTAAATGAAATGGAGCCATGTTAAAATTGAAAATCTTATTGCTGAAGATTATCAGGAGATTGTTCCAACACTTGACAATTAGAAGGAAGAAGTCTTGAATTCCTCGAAATTCTCTTTACTATGCAGAGCATCAGTACCATTCAGGGATTATTGGTTTTAATTATTATACAGATGCTTAACTTCCATGCGTAATATTGCAATTGAAACAAAACAGTTATGCTCATAAAGGAGCAGTGTAGTGTCCAATTTCTGAAGCAGGGTTTTCTTATAGCTTCCCCCTCCCCATCTGAAAATAATCCCACAGGTTCCTCACTAAGTTAGAACCACCAGTGCTCATTGTAAATAACAATAAATTAATTTACAGTATACCATATCTTTTATTATTACATATACATAAATTTGTGTTAATGTTTTCCAATCCAGTGACTGTAAAAATTTGTGTATCTATACAACTTACAGGTTTCTTATTAGTATCTCACTGTTGTAAATAATTTAGAGGAAGTGAGTCGTCATTTTTTACTTCCGTTTATTCCATCTTATCAGCAGGTTAGGAGGGAAGCAGTCAAACTGTAACTTATACATGTATGTTGGGAAACAAC